AGCTCTACGCGACGTCGTGTCGTCACGTTCCTACAACATCATCAGCCTACAGGTGAGCAGGGTTGGCAAGTAACTCGTTAAAGCAAACACAATGCCAGGCAGCAGGAACAGGGAATAGAATTTCTGGACGCTTTGGATTTGTTGGAAGGAAACTTCCGACGGATCCAACGCGTCAAAAATTCTACTCCCTATTCCTATTGCCTGGCATCGTGCGACGGACTTTACTTGTAACGAAGTTACAGTTATTTTTTTTGTAACTCCAACTACACCTACTTTATATATTTTTCAAACCTCTACAGATCGCATTAGATCTTGCATTTGCACATAAACGCTTTTATCGACACTTTATAATTCAAACGCAGATTTGATATTTTTGGAATATTGCAATTTTGTGTTTACTTGCATTATTATCCCGGAGGCGGGGAAAGCTTTATTATATCTTGTGTTTACCTAACATCTTATACTTTGCCCTAGCAGCACAATATATTGGCGTAATACTGGGAAATCATATAAATCTAATACACCCAATATTGGTCTAATATTATAAGATGGACGCCTTCTCTCATTAATGCTCGATTTCTTCACATCCTGTTATGTTACGGTTAAAGTTAAACGGGAGATAACTACCAGATCCATGCACGTGATTGGCTAAAATTTGAGATTAACCTCCGGATAATTTTATCGGGAAGTGAAAAAATCGGCCATTAGCAATATTGGTTTAAGCGCGGTTTACAATACGTGGAGTAAGGAGTAAGGGAGAGCCTTGTAGCTTTTGGTGTAAGGAAGCTGAAATACGGGCATAATTTTTAAAATATTTGTAACACTGATTGATGGCATTTTGATTCACCGAGAGTAAGCTTAAGAGCTCAAGTAGGAGTAAGAAATAAAATGGATTTGTTTCCTTACTCCAGTTTACTCCATGTATTGTAGACCAGCCTTTACAGTTACTTTTTTTTGGTAACTCCAACTTAACTTCGTTACTTTCTCTCCGTCTGTAACTGTAACTTACCTCAGTTACATTTTTTCGGTAACTAGTAACTAATTTAATAGTTACATTAATACTTACTTTATATATTTTTGAAACCTCTATACAGGTCGCATTAGGTCTTGCATTTGCGCATAAACGCTTTTATCGACGCTTTATCATTCAAACGCACATTTCATATTTTTATTTTCGTCGCAAGAAAATAACTGCAAAGTAACGATTCGTTACTTTTTGAGTAACTAACGCGTTACTTTTCAGAATTGGTCACTTGTAACTGTAACACTTTTATAAAGTAACTGTCCCAGACCTGCAAATGAGTAGCATGTATTTTACTTGTCAACAGAATTGTCTCGTTTTCCTGTAAGTAAGGGCAAGAATCATTTATATAAGATCCCAGATAGCACGCATAGTTCTATGAATATTCTTCTGGAGCGTAAATATCCTTAATTAACGTTTTTAGAATATTCGTCGAGAATGTCTTTGGGATATTCGTTTAGAATAATTTCTGAATATTCACCGAGTTTCTGTATTGCACATTGTCTATTGTGTAATACACTTATCTTATGCAAAAGGCAGTGAAACCCGTGATCAAACCATGTATGACCGACACGCTATATTCGATAGATTATTCTATTCACAAAAAGATTTATAGTAGTACGAACATAAGATAAATATATAAGAATGACCTGAAGACTATTCTTAAAATGTTCATAGGAGTGTCTTGTGCTATCTGGGACAGACTACTGCAAATTTCTATCTGTAAATTATCTTGTACTTGTAGATTTCGCGTAAGGTAGCATAGATAAGCGTTTCATGACGTTGTCGAGGCCACTTATCGGAGCTGCTGAACTACGCTTGTTCAAGTACCGAAATGACAGTAATACTAGGAGGCGGTATATCGGGCCTGTCGGCAGCGTACTACGCTGTCAACGAAGCGAGACTCTCGTCTGTCATTTTACTGGAGGCTTCCAGCCGCTTGGGTGGATGGATACGCAGCAAGAGCTCGCCGAGCGGGGCGATCTTCGAGCAGGGGCCGAGAACCATAAGACCATTCGACATAGCTGGGGAAAACACCCTTAATCTGATAGAGGATCTGCAATTGAACGACAAATTAATTTCTATTAATGTAAGCCACCCTGTGGCGGCGAATCGATTGATATACATGGACGGGGCACTGCATCGTCTGCCAAATTCCCTCAAGACCCTCTTCAAGACGCCGTCGCTGCTAGATCGTCCCTTGATAAGTCACATATGGAGGGATCTGAGCGCTCCCAGAGTGTCCAAGGAGGACGAGAGCGTTTATAGCTTCGTCCAGAGGCGATTGGGCCAGGATATCGCGGATAATATGATCAGCCCCCTCATCTGTGGCATCTATGCGGGGGATGCGCGCGAGATAAGCGTCAAGTCGGTGGCCATGTTCAAGTCGATGTTCGAGGCGGAACAGAAACACGGCTCCATAGTGAAAGGCATGTTGACCAAGCAATTGAAAAAGTTGTCTTCGAAATCACAGGACAGGAATAACGAGACAAAAGGTGACGCAGGCGACAAGTCCGCGGTTGAATCCTTGACTTTAGCAGAGAGAGCGCGAATGGAGCACTGGGTACTCTGGGGCTTGCAGGGAGGACTCGAGCAGTTACCTCGAGCACTGGCGGAGAATATAAAGGGACGAGGAGTGAAGGTACAGACCGAGAAGAGGTGTGACAAACTCACGTTTAAATCAGATCGCGTAGAATTGTTGGTTAATGGCGAGCCTCAGGAATGCTCGCGCGTTATCTCGAGCTTGAGTGCGAAGGACTTGGCTGAGCTGTTGCGGGAGCAACATCCCGCGCTGTCGGCGGAACTGAAAGCGATACCTACCGTGACGATGGGAATAGTTAATCTTGAATTTGAGGGAAACGTGCTGCCACTGCAAGCGACGGGCTTCCTCGTACCACCGAAGGAGAATTTACCTCTGCTAGGTGTATTCTTTGACTCCTGCCTATTCCCCGGGTCTTCCACGGTACGTATATCTCGGAACAATTTTGTCGTCCGCTTAGATTGCTCGCATCTCAGTTGATTCACTCACAGCATAATTCAATCTGCATTTCTAATGTAACTTTTATTTTTATATGTACAAAACTGCGGGAATTATAACTTATGCGGTATGTAGGAAAAATATTTTTCGCAATGATAATAAATTACTGTACTGTGTGACGATTTAGGTGCTGACGATAATGATGGGAGGCCTGTGGTTCGAGAAATATTTCGGGCCAGATCCGCCGACGGAGCAATTGCTAACGACGGCGATCGATCACACGAAGAATATCTTACAAATCGAAGAGGAACCAATCGCGCACAACGTCGCCGTTCTGAGGGACTGTATTCCGCAGCACGTCGTCGGTCATGACGCGCGTGTAAAACGCATCCACGATTACATTTCCGCGCACCATATTCCCCTGGCACTGTGCGGTTCTTCTTATCAGGGTGTCGGAGTCATTGACGTTATTCTGTCAGCAAAACAGGCTGTTCGTGACGTTGCAAAATAATTGGCAGTATTACTCGATTCGTGTAAAACCGTACGAGAGTAACAGTATACAAGATAACTAAAATTACATGCAAACGCTGTACATGCTGAGTCACAAGCCATGCAAAAAAATCCTGTTGCAAAGTTAAAATAAAAATTTAACCGATCACTGGATGAGGCATTGTCCACAATTTCAATGATAACAACAGTACATATTTTGCTACGTGAAAATACGACATACTAAAGTGGAGAAGCAAAATGTACTTTGCGCAGAGTTGTATTTATATTAAACGAACAGTGTACAGTTTGCTGTGAAATATAAATGTTATTTTATTAAAAATATTAAAGTGTACAAATAAAATATATAAAGATTCCTAAGAGCTAGTCAGAGAAATATATTTCCTTTGTTACACAATAGAGAAAAGGATGTTCCTTGAGAGCGGTGTCCTCCCCTTTTTTGTTAGAATCGCATCAAACGGTATATTTCACAGTAGTGCAAGATCATTTTTATATTTTATCATTTACTTATCGAAATAATTTATATTACTCTGCCTACTGCCTTTCTATACAGCTATATAATTTATATAAGGAACATGAAAAGATTTTGCTATTTATCTGTAAAAAAAAATAGTAATCACATGTTTACCTGTACGCAATTGTAATGTTACTGCAAAATAAAGTGACGTTATCCCAGCAATAAATGTAATAAATATATAATAAAATCAATTTTTGCTTCGCTCAAGATATACAGATCAATTATGTAACCAAACAGACTGCATTAATACTACTTGCAATTTGATTTCATGCTGATTTGAAAAAGACTACTTAAATAAATAAAACAAACGATTCAGGTAGATTAATACAAACTTGTACGCATTCAGTTTTACATTCGTTGATGGATATAACATTACAATCATATTGTCTAGTCTTTGACAGTACCTGCATATTTAACTTCGTCGAAAGCCTTTCTCGCTTTCTTAAGTTCCTCATTCATTGTTAAAAGATCCTTCACTCTGGCATATTTCCTGGCGTCCTTTCTCACTGCAAGTAAATTAATAAATTACGAGCTATGAGTGTAAAAAGAAACGGAGAGCTTTAAATAACTTTTAACATTTGTTTATCTGCTTAAGAACTGCATATATCATTCTTACCTAAAAATACAATATCCTCCACTTGAACTCTTCCAGTGCGTCCAATCTCCATGGCTCGATGTGTCGTCTCGGTGATGAACTCGATAACCAAATCCTCCAGCAAATCGACGCTTTCGGTATAAGGATTCTGATCGTCGCCGAAGCCGTACATCATACAGCGCAGCTCCTTGGAAAAGAGACGTTTCCTTCCACCGGGTAGAGTCCCGCCGATTGGAATCTCTGCCTCTTCATCCTCAAACTATCACAGTAGCCAAGTGTAAGTACGCAGCGAGAAAAAGAACTGACGGTCAATCTCGAGTAATTTATTGCGTAGTGCATGAAATTAAACCCAACCAGATCTTTGAAAAAGGTACATTTCTTTAATTTAATTTCTTATTTTAATTAACGTTTCTACTTTCACTATACTCTAAAAAACTAGATATATACAAATATAATGAAATAAAGAGTTTTAAGGAAACTCATGAGGTGTTCAAATTTGAACTCTATTTACAATCAAACGATGGAATAAGTGGAATTTTAATTTATGTAGGAGGAAAAGTGAAAAAATATAAATCGAACCTGCTCAAAAGTTTCTTCGGCCATCGTTTTGGAAGCTAGTTTTCAAGTTTTTAGGCAGTCTTAGCTGCTTATTCCTTGTATTTCGGTAATTCTTCAGGTTAGCTAAATACAAAATTCGTGGATGTAACAACAGAAAGATTATACTCGGATGAGGGCTGATTGCAGCTGATTGTTTTGTCAGGTCTCGTCAGAGAATGGCGATCCGCCCTCTGTGGACATTGAAAACGTCAACATGAACTACGTAACCAATGTCCACGTTTAGAGTAAGCGGATAACGCAGATGTGCAGGTTTTGGTTGTGTTCCGTGCTAGGTGCATGAAATGTCGATAAAAACGTTTCGCGCGCGCAGTTTGTGGTCGAGCATTGTATATTTTTAAGAATTTGTATACACGCGAAGAGAGAAAGAGAGAGAGAGAGAGAGGGGGAGGGGGAGAGAGGGGGGGAGAGAGGGGAGAGAGAGAGAGGGGTGGGGGAAGAGAGAAGTAATTGTATGCGCAACGTCAATTTAAAATAAAAAGTAATTTGTCACTCACTGATACGAGTCGCAACAGCATTATGTAAAATCGAAATTATATTATTAAATATACTTTGTTATATTTAATAAAATAATTATATACGTAGAATACTGAAAATATTTTCCTTTTAAATATAAACTCACAAAATTTTATACGTACGGTTTTGTCTCTAACACTTATTCGAATGCTCGTTCGAATCATTTGAATAAATAAAATAAAAGCACAGAACAGAGGCTTCATTTTGCACAAGTAGCAAATAACAAAAATGTAAGACACTTACCTTACGATTTCTCTGCCGTTGCCCGATGCCGCCTAAGCTCCTCCTCTCAGATTTTCTTGTTGCACTTACACTCACAGCACTCAAAATCGATCGCGCGAAATTTCGTACACTCCCGTACGCGATGTAAAATACCGTGAAATGCAGTAAGCGACGTTCTTTACTTGCTGCCCGTTCGAGTTGCGAAGAACGACAGAGCGATTTACAATTACAGCGCGAACGCCCAAGTCGCACAAATATCTCTCTCTTCCCGAAAATGGAACAGGGAAACCGACAACGCAAAAACAATATCACTGGCCGATCGGCCACCGAAATACACTGTTTTATACGCGTATTAAACGATCGGTGTGAACCAGGCTGTTAATTGTTCGCACAGAGCACGACACTAAACAGAGCACACGATATTCGTACAGAGCGTGCGACACTCTAGAGAGACACAGGTACGCGATGGCGAGCAGCCGGCACCGCGACAGAACGCAGTCTATATAGTCCGTAGTCTATGGTCCAGTTTACGCCGGTTCTTTCATACGCGTATCAAATAACACAACTAGTAAACGGATTTTATCACTGGCCGAGCGGCCGAAATACACTGTTTTATACGCGTATCAAACGATCGGTGTGAACCAGGCTATTAATTGTTCGCACTGAACAGAGCGCGACGCTAAACAGAGCACACGATATTCGCAGAGAGCGTGCGACACTCTAGAAAGACACAGGTACGCGACGGCAAGCAGCCGGCACGGCGACTGAACGCAGACTGATTCACTGATTGCCCGTGAAAAACATCGAAACGGTTACACCAGTTTTTGCTTGTTTGCGCGTCGAAAATATGTAGTTTTTGTTATACCGAGCGCGAGCCGCTCGGTAGTTGTTTACGTCGAGCCGCCTACGCCGCGCGCCGAGGTCAACGGTCGTCCCGGCGTACCGCAGTAGCATTCGAGCCGCCGCGGCGAATGCCACGGGACAGTCTGCGCTCTCGTTCTCCGCGTAATAATTAAAAACGACGTCTTTCGTTTCTCGGAGCGTTTATTCGGCTCGACGTACGGGAAGCGGACCGCCGTATCGCCGTCTATCGTTCGCGCTTGCTGTGCCTTCGGCGGTCTATAAAATAGACGAAATAAATTGAACGTAACGAGGCTCGATTTTCGGTCAACGCGTTTAATTCACGCGTTTAATTGCGCGAGTGATATCGAAGTGAGAAGTGAATCGTCGCGCGTCGTTGACTCGACTCGAGTAGTATCGCGTCGTGCCGCTAGGAACCTGCGCCATGTTGGGATCATTCGAGAAGCACCACGGACGCGCAGTGGATCGTTCTCCCGCGCCGACGGCCACCACGACGCGTTTCACGAAGGCTCGCACAACGGCGTTGAGTTGAATCAAGGTAGCAATCGCGTTGATTCGATACTCGTGCGTCGACGATCCACCGAGACGCGTATCTCGCGAGAAGCCGGGAATGCGCCGCATCGTCGCTGTCGTACCGACCGTATCCTCGCGCGACACGAACACTCCGAGCCGCGATTTCAGTTCGTGTCTCCTCGCGAGTGTAGAATTTCACGCGTGACGCGCGGCAAGAGAGACGTTCACGCCCGCGTTCGGTCGCCTTTCTCGGGGAAACGCGCGACGTGAGCCCCGCGGTCCTTCTTCGCCGAAACGTTCCTCCGCCAACTTGCGCGACGCCATCGATCGTGTTCGCGCGATCGCGTCTCCTTGCTCTCGTTGCAAGTTGGAGTCCGCGACGAATGGCGCCGGGAGTGACGTTGTGTCCAATCAAATTAGTAATCGCGCCGATCCGACACTCGTGCGTCGACGATCCACCGAGACGCGTATCTCGCGAGAAGCCGGGAATGCGCCGCATCGTCGCTGTCGTACCGACCGTATCCTCGCGCGACGCGAACACACCGGGCCGCGATTTCAGTTCGTCTCCTCGCGAGTGTAGAATTTTACGCGTGACGCGCGGCAAGAGAGACGTTGACGCCCGCGTTCGGTCGCCTTTCTCGGGGAAACGCGCGACGTGAGCCCCGCGGTCCTTTTTCGCCGAAACGTTCCCCCGCCAACTTGCGCGACGCC